TTTGAGAAAAGACCAGATTACTCCAACTTCTACCTTGCTATGTACAGAGAACCATAGAGATGGCCTTGGATAAGGAATTTAACAACGTTAAACAAAGATGAATTAAACTCAGGAAAAGAAAAATGCTTTAGAAAGAGCCTTAAAATGACTCTGCCTTGACACTGTTTAGTATAAGGAAGGAAGGAAAATACTGTTAGGCTTTTAAGGATCTTCCTAAGCCTTTTGAGGTATGCCAGGACAGAAAACAGATTTAACAGGAACTACTACTAGAACTGCACATAGATACAATTTGGGAGCAGGCAATCACTAATCACCACTACCACCATCATCATAGCTATACATCTGACTAACTGTCCTAGAGATGCTTTTTCAAAAGGCAAATGGACTTTCTTGGTTTTCCTTGAAGACGTTTCACTTCTTATCCCAGAAGCTTCTTCAGTTCTGAACTTCAGAACTCAAGAAGCTTCTTGGATGAGAAGCGAAATGTCTTTAAGGAAAACTAAGAAAGTCCAGTTGCCTTTTGGGGAAAAAAAAACAGCTATGGGACATCTATGACTTGGTTGACTGAGAATCTCCATAGACATATGACTAAGTGTGTGTCCAACAATAATAATGCCACCTGATTGAGAGCTGTCACCTAGAGACAAGGAAGATCAAGGAAGCACTGGAAATAATAAAGCAGCAAATAACAGCTATAGCCAAGAAGGTCAGTAAATATGAAGCTTGAATTGCACATTATAGGCAGAATTTCCAATTTCAGTTGAATCAGAAGCACTTCTATCAATCCATCAATGGAGAAAGTGAGCAATGAACCAATGAAGACCTGACAAAGAAGAAACAGTGCAGTTCTGGATGCAAATACGGCCCACCCAAAGAAATACAAGAATAATGTAGCTTCAATAAAGAACAAGAAGAAAAAAGAAGCTAAAATGAATTAACTTGCAATAACAACAGAAACAGTGGACAAAAGGTCAAGGAAGATCAAGGATTGGTCAGCACCAGGTGAAGATGAACGGCATGGTTTTTGGTTGAAACATCTGGCTGATCTACACCTACTCATTGGCAAGCAGTTTAACAATTAACTACACCAAGGTGAAATTGAAGCTTGGTTAACAACTGGCAAAAACTATCTGATAAGATCTAGCAAATGAGGCATTACAGGCAATTACAGGCCAATTACCTGCTTACCAACAACTTTCAGGTTGCTAACGGATGTGGTAGTGAATGCAATCCAACACTGTTTAGTTGAAAACCAGCTCTTTCCACTTGAGCAAAAAGGAAACTGTTCAAACAGCAGAGGAACAAAAGATCAGTTCCTAAATTATAAGGTGATTCTGGGAAATTGCATGAGAAGGAAGACCAACCTGGATGTAGCTTGGATTGCAAGAAGGCATTAGACTCCCTGTGACATGATTCGATAATCAAATGCCTAGAAATAACAGGAGACAACAGAAAACATCAGCAGCTTTGGGCAAAGATCAATGGAACAATGGAAGCCACTGTTGCTGATCAATGGTGATAGATTGGAAGAGGTTAATATCAAGAGAGGAATTTTTTAAGGAGACTCACTCTCACCACTAAAGTTTGTCATTTTCATTTGATTGATTCCTCTGTCAAACAATACTGAACCAGTCAGACTATGACTATCAAACATCTGTCAAGTTATTTTACTTCTTTACATGGATGGTCTGAAGCTGTATGGAAAAAAATGCCACCTGAAATAGAATCACTGTCTAACCCAAGCTATATTGTAAATATTGTCCAATAGAGTTTGGACTGGACAAATATGCCACCCTTACTATCAACAGGGAAAAAAATAGCAACAACTGAAGATATCAAGATACCCTATAGAAATAACATCAAGAGTGATGATGAAGTAGATCACTACCAATACCTGGGCATCCTTCACACTGTCAATATCAAGCACACTGAAGTTAAGAAGGAAGTAATGAATCCATCAGAAGAGTGAAGAAGATCTTAAAGACCAAACTCAGATGCAGAAATGCTGTGGAAGCGATTAATATCTGGGCAATTCCAATCATTAGATACACAACTGGAATAGTGGAGTGGATGCAAACTGAGCTAAAAACTTGGGTAGGGAGACCTGAAAAATAATGGCAATGAATCTTGCCTTCATCTACATAAGGATGATGACACACTCGATTTACCAAGTAGGTGCATATGAAATGTTGCAAGGTCACAAGATAGTTGAAAAAGAAAACAGGGCATTGGAAGAAAGAAAGAAAGTTTTAAAAAGATGCACTGAAGCTAATATACCACGAAGGCTTACTGAATCTCAAAGAAATCAAATTAGCCTATTAAGAATGACCCAACAAAGAACAGAATAGAAACATGAGGAAGCAAATTAATATATTGCCAGTGCATTAAAAAACCTAACAAGTCAAGCAGATAACAATAAGGCGTTATAATAACTAAGAACAGGAAAGTCAAAAAAAGTATCAGAGGGGCTAAATCTGGCTGCACAAAACCACATCTTAAGAATGATTGCATATAAAACCAGAACTGAAAAGACAGCAATAGACACCAACCCTTCCTCTGCAAAGAATCTGAAGAAACAGTGGATTACTTGGTTACTTGCTGCAAGAGGATCGAACAATCAGACTACAAACAACAGCCTGACAATTAGCAACAATGGGGCATTGGGATAGCTGCAAGAGATACCACTTGCCTGCAAACAGGAACTGTTGGAACCACAAAATAGACAAATAGTAGAAAACCAAGAAGCTAATGTGCTCTGAGAAATTGTCTGAAATTCAAATAGACAACATGCCCCAGATTTAATAGATGTGGATAAGAAAAACAAAAGAAAGTCTGGATAGTGGACAGGGCAGCAGCCGAATAAGAGAAACAACTGGAAAGAAGCACAAACTACAAAGACCTGCAAATAGAAGTAGAACAACTGTGGCAAAAGAAAGCAACAGTAGTACCCATAGTAATAAGCCCCTTGGGTCCAATTCTAAAACATCTGGAGCATCAACACCATCGGCATTGACAAAATCACCACCAGTCAATTGCAGAGGGAAGCTTTACACTTTACATCCATGACAATATCTTAAATTATTAAAGAACTGCCTATTCCAGGTCCTTGGGAAGGACTCGTTGTTGTTAGTTGCGAAGTCGTGTCCGACCCATTGTGACCCCGTGGACAATGTTCCTCCAGGCCTTCCTGTCCTCTACCATCCCCCAGAGTCCATTTAAGCTCACGCCGACTGCTTCAGTGACTCCATCCAGCCACCTCATTCTCTGCTGTCCCCTTTGTTAGGAATGAAAGTAACCTAACAGGTATTTGGGTTAGAAATATATAAACCAGGATAGACATTTTAATACTGTCTCTTTAAGAGCATGCTAAAAACTGCAATTGGGTGTGGTTACTCTAATGGCCATAAGATGGAGCCAGAAACCTGGGCTGTTTTAGTCTTAGTCTTAATCTCAGAAGAGAGTGTGCCTCAGTCTCTGTTTCCTTCTGTTGGAAAGTATTGCCGTTCTTCCATTTCTTCTAATTGACTGATATTCCTGGATTTAATGTAAGTCTGATACTGAACTGTTTTTGACACTGGACTTTGATATTTGGATTATCCCTGGATTGAAAACTGACTGATTTAATTTGTGAATGACTTTGGATTGCTTGTTTGGACTTTGCTTAACGTTTCTAGAAGTAAAAACCTACATTTACTGTACAATGTATCTGTGTGCTCTGTGTGTATTATTCCTACACTACTCTATATACGTCTCCCTGTATGCGCTCATTCTCCTAACGGGGAATTACCTCAACACCCTTCTTCTTCTTTTGTCCTCAATTGTTCCCAGCACTCAAGGACTCATTAGGTGGACAAAAATGCCAAATCCAGTCTAAACATCTGGCTGACTGTGCAAGCCATCATAATAATACCATAATTGATTCATGTTTTGCTAAATGCTGCCATGTTCTTTCTCCAAGACCATCTCTGTAGTTCTCTACCTATGGAATCATGCAAGGGAAAGGGATGTTTGTTTGTTTTTAATTTGCAAGAGATAATTGGCAGATCAGAAACATGCTGTTTTTATTTAAGCAAACACACGGTGTGCAAAACGATGGTCTTCTTGCACAGATACCACGTGCACAGAATTATTTTTATACCGATAGTGCCACAGAACCACATTAGCTGTTTAGTCTGAATTGTACTGATAGTAGCTTCAGCAAACACTTTCAACAGGAGATCTAAAAAGAAGAAACGGCTTTGAAAATTGGGTCAAGGCCAGGCCAAATTGCCATTTGGGTATTCTGCCAATCATCCCTGCCATATATAGATGCTTAAATGCATGGAAAATATCCTCCCCTTTTCCTTGATTTTGACCTCCAAAGAGAAGAAAGTAGACTTTGGGAACAGTTCAATAGTCTCTTCATCAGGAGATCTTCTTGCTTATCTAAATAGGCCTACTGCCTATTCACACTGCCCTAAACCATCATTCAGTCCAAACAGTCATGAAAAAAATTTCTCAGGCTGATCATGACTAAACACAGGCATATTCATCCACTATGAATAGCGATAGCATAAATTGACCCCAAAGAAATCCAGAAACAACAATAAGCTAGTCTGAATAAGCAAACACCGAAGTTCTAACCATTGATAATGTCCACCCCCCCTTTTTTTTCCTTTCGCAGAATGTGAAAAATATATGACTATGAAAATACTTTAATATTCTTGGCAGCATAGCTAAGACATTCAAAACTTTTCTGCTATGAACAGCCTTGGATTTTCCTACTTCAGGAAGATAAGAAATACTTCTGTCTTGCAAAACTGGCAAAGCCGCCCTCCACAGGCTTTGAAAACTGGTAATTATAAACACGACCCCAGAATTAAACATTTCCCCACCTTATTCCCACCTTTTCCCTTTTTGAATTCTGCTTCGAAGAATTTGCAAATTCGGTGGGGGCACTTCCCCCTCCCTTTTAAAAAAATGACAGCAACAATCTTTTGGCACTTCAAGTATGAAAATCCTTAGGCACAGTGGGATAAAGTCAGTTTTGCAAGTCCTTCGCCATGCATTCGAAAGAGCTGCTGGAATTCGGCGGGCAGCTGGTGGGATTCTTGCCATTTCGTGGTAAACTTGGTTCCTTTCTTGTCAAAATAGTGGTAGGGAAGATCCTCTTTATTGTTTGGGTTGAAGCCAAAGGGCCAGAACCCATACAGGTGGATTTCATCACAAATAGCGGACGCAAGGGTGTACATCAAGATACCTGTGCTGAGACGCTTGGGGGCCAAATGCTTGTTTTTCCAGTACCTGTAAATCAATACAGTATCGTTATTTTGGGGGAAATACTATTTCACATTCATATATATTTTTTGAGATTCTTGGATGCTTTGGCAGAGCAGGGCCTTTTTGGTGGTGGCAATTCTCAAAGTTCCTCCACAGAAATATCCACCTATCTCCTAGCTTCTAGCTTGTAGTTATTTATTAAATTTAGATGCTGCCTGTATCACTATCCCAAGTGACTGGGTGGCTTACAGTAGTATAAAAGCATAGATATAAAAACATTAAAAGTGTTAAGATTAACAACAAATTATTATTCAGTAATAATATTAATTAATATTTAATTAGTATCCTAGTATGATTTATGTTGATTGCTTATTTAGTATTCATGACTATCACTAAGTGTTGTATCTAATGTTTTATGATGAGTGCATTTTTACAATGACTATGATAATGACCTATCACTATTATTGTATGTACACCGAGAGCTTATGCACTGGAGACAAATTCCTTGTCCAATCACACTTGGCCAAACAAAGGTATTGTATTGTTTTGTGTTGTGTTGTATTGTGTTGTGTTGCATTGTGTTCTGTTCTGTTCCATTCTGTTCCACTCTACTCTACTCTACTCTACTCTACTCTACTCTACTCTACTCTACTCTACTCTACCCTACCCTACTCTATTACGAATATAACATATTTTCAATTACTGGTATGTTGTCAAGATAGTTATGGTGGAAATATGTATGCTGTTATCAACCATTTTTATAGTTTGTCTATTTTGACTGTTTTACTTGATCTTGTTAGACATCGTATCGTGTTGTGTTGTATTGTAATGTATTGTGTTCTGTTCTGTTCTGTTCTACTCTACTCTACTCTACCCTACCCTACCCTACCCTACCCTACTCTATTATGAATATAACATATTTTAAAATAACCAGTATGTTGTCAAGATAGTCATGGTGGAAATATGTATGCTGTTATCAACCATTTTTATAGTTTGTCTATTTTGACTGTTTTACTTGATCTTGTTAGACATCGTTATGTACTTCTTGTTTTCAATTGGAAAAGTAAATATTAGAATCAGTTCAGTGATTGTTGAACTGAAGAAGTTTCTTGGATGAGAAGCGAAATGCTTTCAAAGGAAAACCCAAGAAAGTCCAGTTGCTGTTTGGCAAAAAGCACCTTTGGGATTATAGTGGTCATCTTTGTTGATCAACATGGATGATGATCATAACACAGTAGATTCCTCCTTAGTTATTAGCCGATAAGCTATCTGAACAAATCAAACATTTTCACCTTCGTACTGCACTGGGATGAGCTTTGGGAATTTCATTGCTTTCTAGTCTTTTCAATTTGGAAAGCAGATGTATCAAATTAGTGGATTTTTTTCCAATGCTTCTTCTTGGTGTTCTTTATTGTTGGATGTATTAAAAATGAAGCATTTAATTTTTTAAATTAGTTCCTTCTTGTGTGACACTTTCTATGAGTTGCCTCAGAGGCCCTTTTTCATATGAAGAAGCACAGAATCAATCCAATAAACATAACAAGGCAGGAAGTCAGATGCCATTGGCTTTTTCTGCATTTTTTTTAAAAAATACACACCTACCCTACCTTTTTGGGCTTATTTACGGTGGTTGTTTCTTCTCCAATCTGTTCAGATCCTTCTTAGCTATTTCAGGTAGCCAATGTAAGCTAGAAGCTGTCTTCTACCTGAGTTCACAAACTTCCCACCCTCCCTCTTACAATTGCCATAATTTGAATATCCTTTAGTTACACCAAAAACAATCTAAGCCAGATCATCACGTAATTTTCTATGGGCTGGCTTTGGGGCGGGGGGAACAGAATGGATGCCTCGTGCAGCACTCTTCTGGCCAAAACACGGCATGGGGGGGGGCGATGTGTGCCCCCCTGTGCCCTATTTTCAGCCTGGACAGCCTCCTACAGCACTTTGCCACACAAAACGGGGCACGGGGGGCCGTGCACGGTCCCCCCATCCCCATTTTGGTTGGCAAAGTGCTGCAGAGGGCCATCCAGGCCAAAGAGGGGGAACAGGGGAGCCAGACGCGATCCTCCCCGCGTGGCCCTCCCATGCCCCATTTTGGCTGCCCGAGGCATGGTCCTTTGCTATTTCCAGGCTGGCCCTGTGGGCCAGATTTAAGCACCTCGCGGGCTGGATCTGACCCGTGGGCATTGAGTTTGACACTCCTGAACTAAGCAAACAGCACCAAAAAGTGAATGATGCACAACAGCAAATCGCACCTGTTAACATGTTGCATTATATTTCCTGGCCAAGCCAGCTGGACTTTTAATTGTCCTCGATGCTCAATAAAGAAATCTACCAAAGTTCTGGTAATAGTGGCTGACGTATGGAAGAAAAAAGCTGGAATCCAGAGAATAGCTCCATCCAGCTTCTTCAAGCTTAGAAAAAAGTTATTGCGATCTTGAATGGTCAACAGGTTGTTGTAATACTTCTCCAGAATGCTCGGGTTAAAAGTGGTGATGTTGGTTTTCCTTCCCACGTCTTTCTGGAATGCTTCGGTGGGTGCAAAATTGCAACGAAAAACAAAATCGTACTTGTCTATTTCCTGCCCGCACTGGCTGCCAAGAAGAATCCCGCTGTTGCCCACGACAGCGCAAATGTTATAGTGCTTGTTCTGAATCGGAGAGACATCCGGAAGCAACAAACGGAAGCTATTGCTAATGGAAAAGACGTACTTATGGCTGGAATAGTCGTAATGCATCAGCTGTCCAATCCGCACCATGTTCTTTGTCAAAGAAAAGTTTTTGATCACGTCAACATGCTGAAGGATTTCTCGTCTAAAAATAATAACAGAGAAACAATGACAATGAATGGTCTCAAACATCCAGTTGTTGGCCTTGTTTTAATATTAAAAAAAGACACAGGGATCTCAAACCTTTCATATACAGGCAATCCTCGGCTTAGAACACAACCGAGCCCAAAATTTCTGTTGCTAAGTGAGACATTTGTCAAGTGAATTTTGCCCCATTTTATGACCTTTCTTGCCACAGTTGTTAAGTAAATCACTGCAGTTGTTAAATTAATTACATAATTGTTAAGTGCATCTGTGATGCCCCAAAGGGGCGTGGCACAAAGGCAACACATCAGATAATCAGTAGGAATCCCTTTATTAGCTCCAACTTTGCCCCCAATTTCCTGGTTACCTTCTGGCTGGAGAAAAACTCTCCCTTTGGCTGCAGAGAATCAAGTCCAAAATGTGGTCAACAAAAACTGTAACTATAAGTCCAATCAAGGCAAGATGAGGTAATTAGTCCAGCAAGGCAGGAGAAGAAATTCCAGACGTGAAGGCACGGAAATAACTCAACACGGTTGGGAGGATGCCAGGAACGCAGATAAGCAAAGTCGGTACAAGATAAACTCACGTTTGTTCCCAGCAGACGCTGCACTCAGCATGCATTTCTTTTAAACTCTTTTCCCAGGTGTGGCTAATGAAAGGAATCAGGGCCCTTTCCTCCCCGTAAACCACACAACCCACATTGCTCCCTTCTCTGTTTCTCCCTGTGTGCCCTAGGATGAAGAGGGGGTAGACTTGGGTCTTCCTCTGAACTCCCTCTCCCTTGTTCTACCTCTCCCCTGCTCTACCCAGGCAGACTTTGCCCTTTCCCAGCCTCCTCCATAGCCAACCGAGCCACACTCCCACTCCCTGTCAGTTGTTCGTCTTCCTCCTCGGATTCAGACTCCAACAGGGGCATGACAGAATCTGGCTTCCCCATTGACTTTTGCTTGTCTAAAGATTGCAAAAGGGGATCACATGACCCCAGAACATTGCAATTGTCATAAATATGAGTCAATTACCATGCACCTGAATTTTGATCATGTGACCATGGGGATACTGCAATGGTTGTAAGTGTGAAAAATGGTCATGTCACTTTTTCAGTGCTGTTGTAAGTTTGAACTGTCACTGAACAAACTTTTGTAAATCAAGGATTACTTGCATTACATCCAATGGATGGGTGGATGTGGTTGTTCTTTTTGAAAATGCATAAACTTTTAACATAAGGTGTATTTGTATTTTTTTAATACATGAATCAATCATTGATAGGAAGGACTCAAAGTTGGGGACCTTGGTTTTCTGTTTGATTACATTTCAGCTTGTTTCTAATTATTCCATTTTATTCTCTCCTGATGAAACAAATAAAACCTGTTCATTCAACTTGGGGTATGCATTCTAATTCCTTGAATAGAGGGCCAGACCCCCCAAACCCTCACCCCTCTCTATGTATGTGTGTGTGTGTGTGTGTGTGTGTGTGTGTGTGTGTGTATATTTGTTTTCTGAGGTTCTCGCGGGTATTTGTATGTGGATCTTTGGTTGTTCGGGTTTTCTCCCGCGTAAGATTTGAAGTATCTAGGCAACGTTTCGATGAAGTCTCATTCATCATCTTCAGGCTTCTGTCTCCGGCACTCTGAGAAGCACAGAGCCGGAGACAGAAGCCTGAAGATGATGAATGAGACTTCATCGAAACGTTGCCTAGATACTTCAAATCTTACGCGGGAGAAAACCCGAACAACCAAAGATCCACA